AAAGCCAAACTATTTTAATAGTAATATTAAAATATTCACTGTTAAGAATAAATTTAAGACTTCATAAGAATTATAGCTTAAAATTATCGATTTTATTCATTGCTTTATAATTTTATATATTTTTCTGATAGAGTGCATTTAGAAAAAGCGTGAAACTTTACTAATGCTAAATTGTACTATTGTACAAATTAGTGATTACTAAATTTAGCAGATTTTTTAGTCCCAATAAATAATTTTCAGGAGAAAAAAATAACCCTCTCTCCCCTCCCTTATAATTTTTTACTGAGCCTGCAGTGTTGTTGTGACCGCTGAAAATGGCTGCCCAGTGTTTTGGAAGGAGGCTTCAACACTCGTTCCTTGTTTTGGAAAAACTTCAAGGACTATTTGGGGATTGTGCTACTGAAGTTTCTAGATCTGTTCGAAGATTTTCCAGTGTCAAGGCTCATGCACTTGTTTATAAGGAACATGGAGACCCAAGTAAAGTTTTGAGGTAAACATTGTCTAATGTTTAACATTAAAAATATAATTTGTTTTTGTTCATTTGTATTTTCTTTTCTTCTGGTGTTTATAGCCTTGACTTTGTAGACAGAGAAGTTATTGATCCAAATTCTGTAGGTGTGCACATGATAGCAGCACCTGTAAACCCTGCCGACATCAACCAGATACAAGGTGTGACATGGCTAGTGTGCTAATTATAATATATAATTTATTAAATATATATATCTATAAGAATATAATAAGAATATTAATTATTACGAAAGGTACCTATGCCATCAAACCAAAGCTACCTGCCGTAGGGGGAAATGAAGGCTTTGGTCAAGTTATCAAAGTTGGCAAAGAAGTCAAAGATGTCAAAGAAGGAGATTATGTTATTTTGGCTGAAAACTCATTAGGTTAGTATGATATACCTTCAAGGGGAGCTAAATCAGTATATGGTTCAGGAAATCAAGGGTGGTGTGGTAGTAGATAGTTGATAAAGATTTCGAGGATTCTGTTTTGCTTTAACTACAACCTTTGATACACTGTTCTACTATTCCAGGTTCTTGGTCAAGATACCTGGTATTGACAGAGCATGACGTAATTCAAATACCAGGCAATGTGACAGTAGAGTTTGCGGCAACATTGGCTGTAAACCCTTGCACTGCTTACAGAATGTTAAAAGATTTTGAGCAATTAAAAGCAGGTGAATAATGCAGTTATGTACATACTTTTTACTGGTGTAGAGAGAGTCCCAAAGAGTGGGCCACTTAGCATTTTGGCACAAAAAGTGATTGATTTTCTGTTGTTTGTTTGTTTGTTTGTCCTTTGCTGTGACGACTCAAACAGGTTTAATTTTTTAATGTGTGTCTTTTGTATATTGGAACTTCTTTTTAAGGTAGTACCATTATTCAAAATGGTGCAAATAGTGGTGTAGGACGAGCAGTCATCCAGCTTGCTGCTGCATGGGGAATCAAGTCCATTAATATTGTGAGAGACAGGTAACTAATTCCTAGTGATTTTTACACCTGTGGAAAAACTGGCCATGAGAAATAGCATGCATTACAAATTTTCCCCCTCCCTATCCCCCTCCATCGTTCCTTCCCATCCCCCATCCCTGTCCCCAGCAGAAACACTCTAAATATTAAGCTCGTAGACATTTTATACCATGCAGTTAATGTCTAGTATATGCTTTATTCATAAATTTGAGAACATTTATTTTTCAGGCCAAATTTGGAGGAGCTTCAGAAAGAACTGACCGGCCTTGGTGCAACGCATGTTGTTACAGAAGAATTCTGTAGAACTCCTGACATGACTAAACTATTAAAGGTAATCTACTCATACATTAGCAATTGTACCCTGCTAGCAGAGGTCCCTTTTCGACTTTTTAATTTTGCAGAGTCTTTAATATTTTGTTGTTGCTTTCAATCGTTGTGGAAGAAACATCTTCCCGCACCCTCATGAGTGTGATAACTTTATCAACTTATACCTGGTCACTTATGAGCCCACATCCTTATTTGCATGTTACTAATGTAAAGTGMTTGGTGAGGACACTTGGTGCTTGTTCAAACAGAATGTAATCCATAAGAAAAACAATAAAAGAGCCAGTAAAATGGAAAGTCTCATAAAAAAGAGAAAGGCGAAAACTTGGCCTGTTTTAAACATTGTATAGCAGTTGGTGCAGTCTGTCAAAATAATAGTTAAATTTTAACTTGTGGATCCCATGCATTCTGGTAGGATCTGCAACGACCTAAACTTGGCTTCAATTGTGTTGGTGGAAAAAGTGCAACAGAGTTGACTAGGCGCTTAAGGTAACCACTATATAAGGTTAACATTCCAGTAAACAGAGGAGAACCTTCGAAAGAGGACCCCAGGAGGAGGAAAGAGGAACCTAGGAAGAGTACCCTTGAAAGAAAACCCCCGTGTATACGACTTCATTATGATCCTGGTATCCTCAATAAAGATTAAAGCATTATTATTAAACTACCAGGCTGTGAATCCAGTAGACCCTTTTGGCTTGGGTATAATGTTTTCCCAATTCAGACCACATATAATTCCCTTGAGTATCATTTCTTTATTGAAATGTTGCACAAGAGAATGAATATCAACAATACTACTCAAAAAAAGAATCTAATGTTCAAGAGAATGACACGTGGATTGTAATCAGGGGAAAACATTACACCCATGGTAAAGAGTAGCATTGTTGCTAAATAAGCTCAATATAGTTTGGGAGTGGGGCTGCAAAGCCAAAACGGTAAGGGCATAGATCACAAGGACCATGGATCACCCTACAAAGTGTGTGTATGTGTTTGGGGGAGGGGGGGAGGGCTTGGCTTAGATTGGAAAATATAAGAGACTAGTTTGGGAAAAGGGAAAAATTGGGGNAGGGCTTGGCTTAGATTGGAAAATATAAGAGACTAGTTTGGGAAAAGGGAAAAATTGGGGAGGCTATAGCCCTCCCTTCACCCCCCCCCCCCCCCTTCCCGGATTATGATAACAGCAAGATAGCTTTTTGCTGTAAGGCCTTCAAAAGGTTCTCTATATTCAATGATTGATATGATATCCTTCAGTCCACAGGGTACACTTGTAACGTATGGAGGAATGTCAAAACAGCCTTTTGCTGTACCAACAGTATGTCTTGTGTATTTTTCTTGTCTTATAAAGTCTGTCACAGGCAGATCTAAAGGCACTCAGACAGTGAGTCAGTCAGAGGGTCAGTTGGTAATTCAGTTGGTGGGTATTAAAGTCAGTCAAGCGTTCCAACAGTGTGTTGGCCAGTTGGTTGGTCAGTTGGTTGGTCAGCCAGGCAGTGAGTCAGTCATTCAGTCAGCAATCACACTTTCATTCATTCACCCGGTTGATTGGTCAGTTAGCCAGTCCATTGGTCCGTCAGTCAGTTGGTTGGTCAGTTGGTTGGTCTGTCTGTCGGTCAGTCAGTCAGACAGTCAGTCTTTCAGTCAGTTTGTCAGTCTGTCAGTCAGGTGATTAATCCAGCAGTCCATTGATTGACCAATGATGGTGGGTCAGTCACTCAGTCAATACTTGAATGTAAAATAATACTCAGTTATATATTTGTCTTAGGGCTCTCTCATCTTCAATGATATAAGGATTCGAGGCTTCTGGATGAGTGGATGGAACAAACACAATGCAAAAAGTAAGTTGATCCTCGATTGACTATGCAGTATTTATCCCACACCATTGAATATAGAAACAATCAGAATGCAGGTAAGCCGTTGTATATTTCACGGTATTACATCATGCATTACAGCCTAGGTAATTTCAATGGTGTGGAGTAGCATGATAATTATACAATGTTTGAACGTGGCACACTCTGGAATATTCTACTTGTTACTTGTGTTTTCTTAGTAAACACACTCGCCTGAGGGCTCTTTGTATACTAGAAAATACAAACCCCTTGTGGAATCATATTCTCTGGGACCGCAGAGCTAGGGGGGCTGAGGGGCTATAGTCTCACTAAGAATTTGTTCCACCATGTTTTATTTTTTATCTGAAAAAATATCGAATAATACGGGTCAAAATCGAAT